AATATAGCGGTAAAGGTCTGGGAGACTTTGGTACAAACAGGTTCCGTAGAAGGTCGGGGGGGGCTTTGGTGCAGAGCCAGGTCAGCTTCAATTCAGCAGGGTTCCGGAGAAGGTTGCGGTGAAGATTTGGGAGGCTTTAGTGCAGAGCCAGGTCAGGGTTTCATAGAAAATTCAAGAAGTCAAGTTCAACAAGGTTCCGGAGAAGGTTCCCGAGAAGGGATGGTGCAGAGCCAGGTCAGGTTCAACAGGGTTCCGAAGAAGGTTCCGGAGAAGGTCTGGGGGGCTTTGGTGCAGAGTCAGGTCAGGTTCAACCGGTTCCGGAGAAAGTACCGGTGAAGGTTTGGGAGGTTTTGGTGCAGAGTCAGGTCAGGTTCAACAGGGTTCCGGGAGGCTTTAGTACAGACCCAGCTGAGGTATTTCCAGCGCTTGGCTTCACAGCACGCTTCGGAAAGGTTTGTAAAAATAAAACGTTCCGGCTATTAGGGATACCACCGAAGCTTATTTTTAAATGGTAACCATCTTTAAAAATAATATATTAAAATATTTTAAGTCATATCTATATAAAATAAAATAATTTTAGAAAATATCGTATTATTTATCTATTATAATATTAATACATTATAATTTAAACAAATTTCTATCAATAAAATATTGTCTATCTGAATTATTTACAGAATTATTTATTATTTTTACTCTTCTACATTTCCGTTTTCTCTACTTTTCTGCTCTTTTCACTACTCTACTTCTTCACTTCTCTACTCTCCACCTCTCTAGTCTCTCCTTTTCTTTTCTTCTTCATTTCTCTACTTCCTCCATTTCTTCTCTTCGCTACCATTTTCAATTTTCTGTAACTCGGAAGTTTCTCTTCTAAACTCCATTTGGTAACATTCAATATTTTCACGATACCAGTAATAACAAAAAATACATATTCTAGATATCATTATTATTACTACTATTATTATTATTGATACTATTGTTATTATCATTATTATTATGATTATAATTGATACTATTGTTATTATCATTATTATTATGATTATAATCAAGATTATGTAATATTAATATGTAAATAATTATATATAATTGTATGTAATTATATGTGTATATATATATATTCTGATGACAAAGCTCATCGAAATATCAACAAAAAGCGAAAATGCAGATTGGAATACATCGCTTCGTTGCTTTGCAATCAGCGCGTTTCCAAATCTCTATGCACTATCTGTCTGGACGGCTCAGACAGCTGTATTTTGTTGTCGAGGTCCATTGGCTGTGCCTTGTGCTGGTTACTTTCCTGAGTCTTGAATCCAAAATCGGGACATGTTGTTTGGAGTGACAAACGGATATGAACAATTCCAAACTGTCTTCCAGTCAGTATTCTTCCTAGGATTGGATGTCTAGATCTGCTCGCGCCACGGCCCGCTGTGAGCGGTGGACCTAGAAGCAATAATTACCAGTCTGCACCCTTGCCAATAATCAACCATATAGACTGGACACACTATGAGGCAAAACACTGGCCAGTGACAGTGCTTTTGGCTTTTAGCATCTTGTGCGCTTGCCACTTTTTCCCACCTTTTGCCACTTTCTCTTTGGATGGTTTTGGGAGACTTTAAGGCCAAGTGACAGCACCGTGAGATATTCCTCAGCAATGGATCGATAGTCCGACTTGCCGGTATTGACACGCACTGGACTGCTGAAACAAACAAGACAAAACTAGACGACAGTGTGGCCCAAAAGGAAAACAGGAGGGAGTAGATCAAAAGAGGATGGAAGAGAAGATATGAAGATGACGGATGATGAGTGATGATGAAAGATGAATGATGAATGATGTGGTTGATATATATATATATATAATATATATATGGTTTACGCGTGTATCATGACTGATAATGAAATGATAGGGCAATGTGAATCTGTATCTTTCAATGTCGCCCATTCAAATGACAGAGACGCTTTTACACACACAGGCACTTTTACACACATTTTTTGCGCACAGAAGCTTTTACACACAAGAATTTTACACAGAGAAGTCTTTGCACACAGGAGCTTTTACACACAGAACCTTTTACACACAGAAGCTTTTATACACAGATGCTTCTACACACAGACGCGTTTACACACAGGTGCGTTTACACACTAACACACAGAACCTTTTACACACAGAAGCTTTTCCACAGAGAAGCCTTTACACACAGAAACCTTTACGCACAGTGGCTTTTGCAAAGAAGTCTTTTACACAGAGACGCAGAAGCTTTTGCACACAGAAGGATTTACACAGAGAAGCTTTTACACAGGCTTTTACACAGGGAAGTTTTTTACACAGAGAAGCCTTTCCACAGAGCAACTCTCGGATACACACACACACAGAAGCCTTCACGAACAGAAGTTTTGCATAGAAAGCTCTTACACAAAAAACTCTTGCACTGCACAGACAGCTTTTTACACAAAGCTTTTACACAGAGAAGTCTTGACACCGAGGACCTTTGTGACATTGCAGAATTGCAATTTCACCTCAGTTTTGCCGATTGACCGTCATTGATGCGAAAGGGTTGCGTCTAAGTCTAAGATTTTCAAAGCGCAATTTTACACAAGTTTTTGCCGTTCGAGCTTCATGTCGCGCGAAAGGGTTGCGTCTGAAGTTTCAAAACTGCAATGTTACACCAGTTTTTGACACTCGGCCCTCATTTCGTGCGAAAGGGCGATGCCACGCCACAGAAAATTCGCATTTCACCACACGTTTGTGCGTCCTACACACACGATCCCCGCAGAGGGTCACGTTTCGTAACACACCGCCTGGCTGCCCCTGCCGCCAAACGAGAGAAATCCGGCCAGGGGCCCGCGGGGCCCGGAGCTGGCCGTGTCCTTGCCGTACGGCAGTTCTCTCCTCTCCGAAGGAGAGAGGGGCCGCCGCCCCTGCCGCCGACCTACCCCCCCACCCCGTACCATCAAAAAGTCCCGCGTTTTACGGTGTTTTTTGCTGTTCCCATTTTTCGACTTAAGATGGGTCAACATGGGCCAACATAGGCCGCAAGATGGGCCAACATAGCCCCAAGATGGGCCAACCTAGCCCTAAGATGGGTCCAAGATGGGCCAACATAGCCCCAAGATGGGCCAACATAGCCCTAAGATGGGCCCAAATTGCCCTCAAGATAGGCCAACATAGCCCCAAGATGGGCCCATATAGCCCCAAGCCGTTCACCCCTATCACCTCAACATGGGCCCTTGGCCGGCTGTCGCGCGTAAGCGCTTAAATCTAGAAGAACCCGAGAAGTAGGAGCTTTGCAGGAGTTCAGATACAAGTATATAGATCACCTGGAAGACCTGGAAGTTAATTAACTCCTGTGTAACAACTGTCGAAAAACAACTCGTGTATAACAACTTCTGTGTCACAACTCGTCTATAACAACTCCTGTGTCACAACTCCTGTGTGAGAACTTGTGTGGATGATGTATGTACTCTTTTTGAAGTTGATGTCTGTGATGCTGATGAAGTTGATTTGATGTAGATGATGTAGATGATGTAGATGATGTAAAGGATATAGGAGAGATATGAGAGATGCAAATGATGTATGCGCTGTAGATGAAGTTGATCTAGATGATGCAGGTGACGTTAAAGATGTAGGAGATGTTGTATAGATTAAATGATGATTTTGGCAGCAGTTCTTTGGAAAAAAACCCTTCGCAGGAGCTTTCAGGAACAAACCACCTATATAATTCGTCCTAGTTTGAAAGATCTCAGATTGCTTGACACAGTACTGATGTACAATCAAATCATGCAATGTTGCATCTCCTTGAAAAACTCGCCGCATTGAAGCAGGTTTGTATCCACTCAGTGACCAGTGACAAGCCACTGGAACTAACACGCAAAGGACGACCATCTCCACCAAACGGCTGCAAATTTGTACCACTTCAGATCTTGTTGAACACGCCCATTGATCGTTTTCTGGGTTAGATCTAACACATCTCCCATGGTTTCCCTGCAAGTCTTCACCATTCATGAAATGAGTCAACCCCAGAAACATCCTTAAGATCCTCTGCTCAATAACTGACACGTTTCCTGTCTTCCCCCTACATAGATTCTGTGGTTCATCTTGCAGCATCTTGCAGCCAGAAATGTTGTGAAGGTTTTAAAACATGTTAAACACAACGACTGTGAATTGGACTTTTCCGGCACTGCAGAGGAAGAAAGACACGACACAAGATTGCGACTGCACAGTCCAACAGGACTGTGAAGGGATCACTTTCGCACATGTTCAGAATATTCGATTAGTCATTTTCAGGATCACATGTTCACTATTTGCAAGTGCCCTCTTGCTGTGTTGTTTGACAAACACACCAACGAGTTGTATAGCCAGTAGTCAAGCTTGAGGCCTTAGAAACATATGCAAATAATTAATAATAATTAGAGCAAATAGATGCAAATTGATTGTGATCTTTGTTCCCAATGTTTGTTGGATGTCAAGGCTCTGGAGGTTGATTGAAACAACTCGCTCACCGTGGTCTCGGTGATGGCAGAGGTCTGCTTAAGAGCAGTCATAGACTCCAACAAGGACTTCCGTAGAACCTGCCGTTGCAGCTAATCAGCAGGACTCAAATGTGTTCAGTAGCGTTGTGAAGGGTCTTATTAGTCTTGCTGCCATGGACAAACATGTCTTTGAAGGTCCAAAACGAAGTGGATTGAAGACATCACAAGAATTGCAGGCGGCTGCATCAACCCATGTCGGGGAATCTAGGCACTACTTCATGAAGGTGCGTTCAGGCTTGGGGCAAATTCTGGCGCATTCTAAGTGTGTGGATGCCAAAGAATTTCGCTGAGACATCCCAAACTCTGTAGAGCATTTGTGGATGTGCCTGCATGGCACGCTGAAAAGATGCTTCCAAGTCTTCTTGAATCAGCTTCATAGAGTCTGCGCCTTGTAGCAAGGGACAATGTTGCACGTCTTGGTTTGCAGGTTTGGGCTCCTGCTTGTCTTGGCAAAATCACTGTGCACTCCTAGATGTTTCTACTTGTTTCTAGTTTGTTCGGATACATTTTGAATCCGTCTGCTCCCATGAGAGTCATTGATGGCAATCTGCTGGAGATACCACACTGGCCCCACATTCTTCATGTCCCAAGGTCCACGCTAGGAGTCAGTTGCAGTACAGCCCTTTCAGAGATATGCGGCTGCTCTACCTCGTCAACCTGCACCCAGAGCTGAACATGCAGCAGCAGCACCATAAGACAAGGTTGTGTCTAAAAATGGGGTTATACAATGTTGTACAGGTTCTACCTACATAACAAATAACATGACCATTCATTTTCTGGACAATCATTCACCAATGGATAACTTTGGGGTACCCCATTTTCGGACCTGAAATTGACAAGAGCCAAGCCTGTGATGTGGCAACATGATGTCCACTGTCAAATCTTTTTGCAGCCTTTGCCAGAAATGTGATCTAAACCATTCCAAACCTACAAGCATTCTTCCCCCTAAGCAAGGTGGACATGCGCTGAGGGCACGTTGTGTCTCCCAATCCGTTGAACCTCTGCATCTGAAGGGTGATCGACTGCCTGCAGCTGCTTCTTGGATGGAAAACAAACTGCAGGCATCAACACACTTTAATATCTTTAATCAAGACAATAATTTAAATTTAAACCATGCTTATCTGACAATCTCGATCCTGGAAATCCATGGAAATCAAACATCGAAACCCTGAGTCTCAGGGCGTGCCCAAGCCCGATTTCTGATACACCAAGCACCCTTACCATTCAGATACTTCACCAATCTTCACCATACTTTACGTAAAGATACACAAACTGGGACTATCTGACAACGACTCAAGGGGACGCGCACCATTGCGCAAGAGGTACGGCACGGGTGCAATTGGTGCAATGATACGAATGCCAGTCCTGGCAGTCCTGGTTTCTGATCATCTTTACAGCCACTCACTCGCATCTACGACCAATGAATCGGAAGCTTTGACGAAATTCACTGGCTAGTCAATGTGTCAAGAATATCTTCAGACCACCCCATGTGCCTTTTGCATACGGATTTGGCGGAATTGCGCTTGCAAGCTTTGTGAGCCTGGCATCAAATAACATCAAATAACCAGTTTTCCCAACCTTTTCTGTCGCAAGAGCATCCCAACCACCACGTCTTTTTTGGATCAACATGGCCAAAGTCAAATGCAATAAAATCCACTTCCACTGGTCATGAGCTGTACAGCACTTGGAACGTTACGTATGTGTCCATGCAAATGCGTATTGGCAGCAACACTAAGTAAACACATTGCATGTATGCGAACATGAAACATATGTACCATGATTGCACTTCTGATTCACTATTCCCGGAATGAGAAACAAAGAACTTTCATGCTGCATGCTATTTAAAGTGTTCTTAGGCCGTGTGAACGGAAGGCAAACTATCGTTGTGGGAAACCAGAGTCACCCTGATGTGTGGTCTGGTTCTGAGTTGCATCATGCGGCCTCTTTACCCACTTGCAAGCAACAGCGACAACTAGCAACACGCAGTTGGGGCCGCAGCTACAGACCTTCATAGCCACTGACTACATGAAATGGCTGTACAAAATCCCTAAGTTTCCGAGAGGACCTCCACAACATATCCTCATCTTTGTATTCATGAACACGTGACACGCATTTGGACTTATAGTTCAGCGAAATTCCCTGCTTCTAGGCTAGAGAACTTTCATTTCTTTCCCAGAAAAGTCCCTGCTTTCCTTGAGCATTCAAAGAAGACCCACAACTGGCCGGAGCGCCTTTTGGTGAGAAGCCTCTGGGAGTAAATCCCGTTGGGGACACGCCTCGTGGCGAAAGAGACTCCTTGCTGGAGCTTCTGCTGTCGGTCCTGCAAACCCAATGTCAACTCCTATGAATGAACGGATGAACGGATGAATGAAGGAATGAACGAACGAACGACCAAATTGAAACAGCATGACAATCAGGAGATGCTGAGCCGAGCGCAACTTTCAAACGATAGGAAAGCTTACCAGCACAGGAAGAGAGTGTGTGACAAATCAACACACAAACAAACATAAACAAACAAACGAACAGCTTGTCTGCCTGAGTTGATAGCATGGATCTTGGATGAAAGACGGAGAGAATGGGCAAGTGGATGCTGCAGGATTGAATAAATGAGCAGATGAATGAATCACCGCAATAAAGGACTGAGGTCAGGCAAAGAGTGGCAGATGAATGTATCAAGATGTATCAAGTATCGATAGATCTACTGCTGAAAAAATGAATGAATTGGTGGTTAATTCACTGAGAAACGGTAACTTTACTGATTGACAGCTTATTTGATTGGCGGGCTGACTTGTTGAAGGGTTTCAAAACATATGATCTCTAGATATCTCTAGTATCTGAGTGGTTTATTGATGGAACAAGTGAGCAATTCATGTCATGTCCTAACTTAGTTGAAACATGTTGAAACACTGCTTGAGCCGGTGAATCCTTATGGCAGGGGTGACACTATAGTGCTCTAACAGCCCGGCAGAAGACCTCTGCTGCATATGCTGCTTATGCTATCCAATGCCCATGATTTCTTGGTGCATGTGGCATGAAGGGTCACTAATCTTACTACAGAATATGCTGTTGCCTCAACTTGAGAACATGGCAAAAGGTTCTTGCAGCCGCATGGTGCTCTTCTGACTTCTCGAGCCACTGTTTCTCCCAGCAATTCATGCCTGTCCTCTGATACGCATAGCGGAACTCCTCGAACATCCTAGGGTTAGGGTTTGTGGCACTCAGCACATCTCGCATAAGAACAATCTGAGGATATGGATTCAGCTGATATCAGCTGATTATGTCATATTGTGTCCTGCTCGCCTGGCGATTCTTTCACAAAAACTCTTCAGTTCGGCAAATCTGGACCCGTGGGAAAACTGACATCTGTCTAGATCCTTTGTTCACCATCCTGCTTACAAGCGAGATCGCTGAGATGTGGGAGGTCTTGCAACCCTCACAGGACTACCTCCTCTGAAATATTTCCTGGGATTTTGATAGTCAACATGCAATATTCCTTGTGTTTGTCTGTATTTGTTATAGAGTATGTGTCCGTTTATTTGCTGAACATCTCAAGATTACTCAAGATGTTCAAATCTCTGCAAGCTGAGGATCTCATCAAGTGTCCTTGCCAAATGCTCCTCAGTGGTGGGACTTTTCGCCATTGGAATATAGTTGATGCCAGGGCCGAAAGCTCTACATTGTTTCAAGATGTTTCAAGCACCCGCCGCTCTTCAAGTTACTCTAAATCTTTCAAAACATTTCAGAAGAACATCTGACAAGCCGCAAATCGCAAATCAACTGATTTCGCAAACCTCGGCATCGGTCGTCGGTGGGCCAGCAAACTGAACTTGTATTCATCCCAATTAAGCTAGCAACATGAAGCACCACGAAGCAACTGTTCCTGCAAAAGATCCTGCCAAAAGGTCTCAATTTTTGTGTCCCTGCAACCAGTCACAGCAGACCCGTTACCGTATGCCAACCCACTGAACGGAATAGAGCTTCAACAATTCTAGCCCCCCACAATGACCGAAGCATGCATCTGCATCCATCGATCCGTTTCCTCCTGCTATAACTTGATGCCTAGCAACATGTCATGTCTCTCCATCATTCGCATCATATTGTACTTGACAAAGCGAGGTGCTGTCCTGGGAAAAGCATCGCAAATGGAAGAGGATTGAGTGAATGCAGAGAACCGGGAAGAAACTGCAACAAACAACCATGCTCGATTGAGAACTGCATAATGAGAATAATGTGATGAGACTGGGTTTAGCTTGTTGAGAAATCCAGAGAGGCAGCACCAGGCTTGGAATGCAAACGTCACCATTGGTGTAACGCTTCAAGGAAGTTGCTCCTAGAAAATGGTGGACAAGCAAAATGCCACATTTTTGGTCGCAATTTGCCAAGCATCTTGGAGTCTCGCACCCATCTACTCAAAGGGCCAATGAAGTCTCTGGCATGCACCTGACCAGTACCTGTGGTGGGCTTTCAGACTCTTTTTCCTTGACATTTTCCAAGTACGTGATAAAATCGATCGATTGCGTTTGATCATTAATGCGTGGCCTATGGTTCGGATGAAGATGTGCCCCACACTTCTGCTCTGAACAAGGTTCTGATTGCGTTGACTCCACGTAAGGTTCAAAGTCTTGAACAGTCAGGCTGGTCGTAAATTTATGTAAATTTAACACTTGATGGATTTACATGGAACAAAAAAACATTGAAGGCAACGCCACAGAGTAGTCCAAATTCTTGCCACGCTGTAGGAATATCAATGTCGAAACATGTCGAAACCATCATTGGTTTGTGGCAATTTAAACATATTTAAGCCAGGTTTTCAACAAACTCACAGGACTCAATGAACAAACACCGTTTGATCGATGAAGATGATGATGTTCCTGCTGATATCTGCTGATCCTTTTTCCAACGTCAACATTTCACAGTGACAAACCAACAACATGCTCAGAGTAGGCCGTCTGCACCTTCAACATCAATCATCTCAAAGAGCTGTTCTAAGTCCACCTGACCATGCGTCCATCAGGATCACGCTATGTTTCTTTTTGATTCTTTTTGGGGGTATCTAGACTGCTAGACTCTGGGGGTAGAAGACAGCAGGGAACGAATCTATTTCCACACACACCCGCCCACTTACCAACCCACCACCCACCCACCCACCCCCAGCCACACCCACAGGCGCAGGTGCACGCTCACGCGCACGCACACAAATGCACTCACACTCTCAGAGTCTCCCTGGTCACGACTGAGTGGCATTTGCACGGGTCCGACACGATGCGCACACCCCATCTTTTGTGGATGTGAGACAGAGATGGGGCCTAGAGCCTTGATCTGACAAAAAATGACGAAACAATATGAAACATGGATCATGGATCTATCGAACGCAACGTTCAAAACCGCTTGAACTTATCGAACGACAAGGAACGGTAAAACTCTCGTGAAATAAACTTCTACCAGAACTGGATGAACTGGAAATGCATAATATGCAAGGTGTTACTGGATGAGCTTGCAAGATCTTGCAATTATATGCAATTATTGAATTGATTATTAGACTGAATTAGACTCCATTAAGCTGTCATGTATATCACATGGTCACAACATGACAAGACTGAAAGTTGCAAAAGGTGGCAAATGGGCCTCATCAATATCCATCACAGCAAGGCGGCTTTGAAGCTCAGGATCCTCAGGGCTCATCGGAACATATCGGAACCGCACGTTATTTCCCCGTGACTTCCGGTTCGACCACTCTGAGGCACACATCAGAAACGAAACACTGGCATCGAGCTACAGTTCCTTCAGCCACCCTGAATCGACAAGTTGCACAATTCGAGAAACCCTTCGAAATACTGTGTCAAGGTTCTCTCCGAGCTCCAGCAATTAGTTCATCCACTGTGACAGTGCCACCTGTGCTTTGCTAAGACTTTTGATCTGCAAGTTGCGCGCAACAATAGGCCAGGGTACGCTTCAAATGTTGGTGAACAAATGTGAACAAAATACTCCTGATACACCACGATACACTGATGATACTGATACTAGTATCAGTATACTCTGATTCTCATGGAATGTTAGGCAATTTAAAGGAGTTGCCCTTAGCCTTGGTCACAACAAATCCAGTGTCCAAACATGAAAAACATCACGCAATCTAAAATGACCATAAATGACGTAAACAATCGTAAACATATATCAGATCTGCTGTAAATTGAACTGACAAAAAAACAGTCTTGAATATTCCTGACTGTTGCCAATGGAACGATTCCCAAAAATACCGTGACGGCGTCACGGACCCGTCACAGGGATGTGAAACACACTCTTCACACGACCTGTTTCGTTTTGCACAATCTTTGATAAACACACGCTATTGCACCGCAAAACCACTGAGATCTGGCCAAGGAACTTGAATCGTCATCAATTCGCTCGAACATTTTCCTCACAATCATATATAATGTGATGCACGGCTGGTTCTGAAGGTATGAAACGGGTAGGGTTTGAACATTGGTTGGGAATGTGATCGGCCCTCTGATGCTTGGGCTGGTCTCCAAACACCAATTTTATTGACGCTATTGGAACTCGGTACTCACACTGTGGAATACAAAGGCGACACGCTGCATCGTAATTGCAAACCCAATGAACGGTGATGACACAAAACAAAATTAATCTCGTTCCACATTGAACCCAGCTTCTGCAGACTCTTCTTGTCTGAAGCCATCTCTTGCTCCAGCTCCTGTGGATCTGTTACTTGACCACATTAAATATGCAGGATTAGGGCGGTGTGGAGCGTGTTTTGATTTTGTCATGGCTTAGCAGCGCAGTCTGGGCGGTTGAAGAGGTTCAATCTGTATCGTTTTTCGTTTTAACAAGTATGTTGTATTTTCGTTTATTTTGTTTACAATTTATTTTTAAGCTGCATATTTTCTATTTTTTTGATTTTTGAACATTTTTCCCCACCTGCCAGGTGAGGTCTCTAGATTTTGACCTTCTTCTCCTCCTTCCTCCTCCTCCTCCTTCCTCCTCCTCCGCCTTCTTCTCTTCATCCCCTCTGCCAGCTCCGGATGTACTGGATTGCGCCTGGACCTTAACTCCAAACCGCCCGCCGAACACAAGATCGCCAGCTCCGGATGCAGTGGGCCATGCCTGGAACCGAACATAGAAGGTCAGAATAGATGCCAGAAAGGTTGCCAGATAGAATGTCGGAACATGTCAGACAGAATGCCAAAAAACATGTGAAACAGAATGTCAGAATAGATGCCAGGTAGAAAATAAAATGCCAGAATGAACGCCTGAATAAAAAGATGCAAGATAGAATGCCACAACAGATGCCAGAAAAAATGTCGGAATATATGCCAGATAGAATGCCAAAATGAATGCCTGAATAGATGCGAGAAAAAATGCCAAAAAAATGTCAAAATAAATGCCAGAAAGTATGTCAAACAGAATGTCAGAATAGTTGCCAGAAAGACTGTGAAAGTATGTGGAAGAGGGAATGTCAAAATATATTTAAAAAAATGTGAATATATATATATACTGTGAGTGGCTAAGGACCGACTCAGCACTGGCAGCTCCACAGTTGCTCACAAGGCGCTCAAGCACCCTTTTCCAAGACCACGCACGCAGGTCTCCAAGGCTCCAACGTTGAGGCACAAGATTGCCTTCCTGGCCCTTCGGCCACAAGTTCAGGTGAGCCCCTGGCTCTGTATGCAAAGGGGACGGCCGCGTCCCAACCAATGGCTTCAAGACAAGAATGGAATCCCACCCTACCCTCACCGTGGCTAACCCTGAGCCCATGTGCTTTGGATGGCCATCAAATTGGGAAGTTGCGGAACTGGTGTGAGAACATGTAATCATGACCCATTTGGAGATGCAACGACGTTGGATTCACACTCCCAAAAACCCAATGTTTAATGACAAAAAACACTCGTCGTTGCAGCTGTTGGTATGGGATTCTTGATCACAGGAGCCTTTGAGCCATTTCAGTCGGTTGCGATTGGTCGCTCGGTTTTTCAAAACTTCAAGTTCATCATTGAGTCGATACCGTCCCAACCGCAAGGTTTCACGTAAAAACGAGGTTTCCATGACTTTAGTAAGACAGTCTGCAAGTTGAGCACCAGAATGAACCCAACGAAGTTGAACACCTTCAGATAGAAAATCCTTGATGCTTCTGGCATTCAATTGAGTTCGGTATTCTGCACAATTTGGAGTGGCTGTTCGGGTAACCAAGTCAAACAATGATTTGCAATCTGTCGCAGCAACGCTGTCAGGTAGGTTTTGTGATTTGTAAGTTGCAGTGGTGTATGTTTCGGGTAGGGATCTCAACGTAGTTGTTGGCTGTTTCCAGTTGGTGGCGGGATCTAACATCCATGCCCAGCATAAACGCAACCAGGAAAGGTGGTCCAAAACGGAGCTCAGCGAAACCGTCTCTGCAGCTAGGGTGCTGGTAACGACCCTTTGGATCTTTTTGCAACCCCACGCAATAGGCGACACTGGACAGGAAACATTCTCACTAATAAGCTTATGTGTTCCCATGATCATGCACCCCGTGTGTGAGCTGGGATTGGTCTTTGATGCGAAGGATGCGTCTGAAAATGCCAAAAACCTGAAATCTTCTACTGGTATAGGTTGTATTTGGATCGTGGTATCATGGTGCTTCTTGGCTTCATGAAGGGCTTGGTTGGCTGAGATTAAGGTATTTACCGTGGCACGATTTATGTCTGATTGTAGCATGCTAAGCCGACTTGCAAGGTCAGGTCTCGTGTGTACCGCGGCATACTGGAGACTACCAATGAGACCCCGGAGAGATTGTCTCTCTTCTTCAGAAACCTTGTCTTCGGCTTGTTGGCGTCGATCTTGAGAAATTTTGATGGGATTAATGGCTTTGACGTAAGTGGATTGTTTCATAGTGATAGTTCCGTTGGCAAGTTGATCCATTTCAATTCCGGTGAAGGTGAACTGTTTCATTTTCTTGGATCCAAAAGGATATTTCTTCTCAAGACAGGCAATTTTGCTGTTGAAGTATTCACTACCCCCGCAGATACCATCGTCTACATGTAGCCCCAGGATTCCTTCCAATGTCCCATACTCATGATGTCTCAGGAGAAATTGACAGGGGTCGAATGGACTTTGCGAAAATCCCAAACTCTTGAGTTCTTCAGATATTGCCAAAAACCATTGATACGGTGCATCAATCAAACCGTATGCCCCTTTCTCCAGCTTGCATACCTGATTCGTTTGTAACTGTAGTGCTTCTATCAGCTCTTCAACCGGTTCGATGGCCAAAACTCGATTGGTCTGTGGCTTACCCTGAAGGAACGCCGCACGTATGTCAAACGATTGCAGTAGCCACCCTTTTGATGCGATTAATTGAAGAAGGAGCAATTTAGAATTTCTTCCAAGAGTTGGTGAGTCACGAGGAAGATTTTCAAGTTCTGGATCAAGGTATCCTAAAATGACCAAACGTGCTTTTGCTTTCTGGGATGGTCCCCCACTTTTGATTTCGCTGGGATCAATGGGTTTCCATGTTAAAACCCAACGGCATCTGAGAATCTGGTCGGCTGGCACTTGATCACGCAGAATCTTAGATATTGTTCCTGTTTTCAACCAATTTTGCACTTCTGCCATTTTTGCTTTCTTGAATTCCTGTTTTTCAGTGGCTGTCAAAGTTGACAAACGTACCTCAGACCTTTGTTTCTTGGCGGCCGACACTGCAAACGCCATGTCAGAGACATTGTCCTCGGACTTCCAAGCTTGAATGTCCCGGTCGGACACTGTGATCTCGCATCGCCATGCTAGATCAGGGACATCCTGAAATGCGCAGACATCATCATCCAGGCATACCAGGCCCTCACAAATGAGGTCGTCTTCAGCATCATCAGGTACTGGAGTATTAATGGCTGGATCATTGGTTACTGTGGATTCAGTGTTTAGAGGTCCATTATGGTTATTAAGTTCAGAGTTATTATCAGGGTTAGGAATGTGGCTGGAAGTCGATTGAGTGGATTGATGAGATGGTATTTCAGGTTCTCCATCGGGCTGTCCTTCGGATTGGTCTTCTGGTGGTGACGCATTGGAATGAGTGGGTTCCAGTTGAATGGGGATTTCTACTGGCATGTTGATGGCTCGGGTAATACCTTGGGATATGGTATGTTGTAACTGACTGGCAATTTGTGATACTGATGGTTCATTGCGTCCAAGTGGGATATTTTGGGTCTCTTGAGCTGTCACAGGTCGTACATGTTCAGGAGCGCATCGATACAGCTTACATGCCATTGTGGTCCATATGGTCTGGCTGTTTTCATGTACCACTACTTTCATGGGCCCTGTCCAAGAACCGGGTAGTGCTCCTTTGCCTTGTTTCCAAATCATAACCCATTCACCTGGAAGATACTGCTGTCCCCCTGGTCGGGACCTGCGCAGCATCGCCCTGCGCAAGCTGGCATCGTTATCAGCATGGAAGAAGGCACGGCGTGCAGTTTCTCTGTACGCCAGCTGTTTCCGAAAAGCAATGCCATGCGAGGTTTCCGAGTCCATCAAAAGGTGTGCTGGAAGCATCTCATCACTACACACGGCTCCTGGAAGTCTAGTGTGTTTACCCAAAACCAAAACCTCTGGTGCGTACCCTTTCTTAAGGCTGCTGGCATTCTTGGCACGGATGCACCAGAACAAGGCTTCGCTTAGGTCGTGGTGATTTTGGATGGGATGCTCGGACTCGTACTTACTCAGCATAGATTTGAGGACAGCTCCATGCCTCTCGGCTTTGCCATTTTGGTATTGCGCTTCGGGGCTTATGGTCGTAAGATGGATGTTGTTGGCCTGGACAAACACGGCAAACTCTTCGGAGTTGAACTCAGTTCCCGAATCTACAATTAGTTCACTTGGTGAACCTGCCCATGAAAACCACATTTCCAAGAGGTGTCGGATGACTGCCTGTGAGGTTCTTTCTTGCGACACCCTTGCACATTGGAAATTTGTAGACCAGTCTACCACATGATAAACATGAAACTTGGTGCCTTGTTGATTCGTCCATTCCAATCCATCCATGCAGATACGATCATTAAAATCCAGTTCATCACGGATACTTCCCGGTCGGGCTAGTTTGGGAAGGCTCGCAGCTTGGCAAGTCGAGCACTTCAGTTCCAGTGCGGCCTGTGCAATCTCAGCTCTAAATCCCTGACTTCTAAGCAGTGTACTTAGGCGTTCAGGACTGGGGTGTCCCAAGTTCTTATGGGCACGCAAAAGTGCTATCTGTTCATCTTTGGGTAGGGCTTTAAAGCGACTGGACTGCTTGGCACTCTGGAGATCGGCATTTTGTGCATGTGACAAACCTGCTGGTGGCATGGAAATTCTTTCGGGGACACGGTCATCCTGAAGATCCACTTCGATCTCTGCAGGTGGTCCCCCGGGTTCTGAATTGGTTGCACGCTCAGCGCCTGTGGGTGCTGAAAAAGAACTCAGGTCACGGCCATGGGATTGTGTACCCGGGTTGTCCGGTCGAGGCATGTCTCTGGGCTTGGCAAACATCGTGATATTGACTCTGGTGGCATGGGAAGGCCTTATCAGGTTTCTCTTAGCCAAATCCTCCCATGGTTCCCATTCTTCCTCAGCTCGAAGTTCCCCTGTTCCCCTTTCGGAAAATATACTACGACGCAGTGGTGCTGTTCCCCGCATGATATTTTCAGGAGGTGCTAACGTCCTACTGGCCCCTCGGCATGCCATGACGGTGACAACCTG